CTCTTATTTCCTTCTCTTGCCTGATTTCCCCTGTTAGGGCTTCCAATGCACTATTGAATAGGAACTGATAATGGTGGGCATATCTTCCCAAGGGAAATGTCTTTAATCTTCCACTGAGAATGATGTTAGCTCTTGAATTTGCATGCACACTTGTAACTATGTTGAGGAAATAACCCTCTATTCTTGCTTAGTTGAGCGTTTTAATCAGGAAGTCAGGAAGAGGTGTTGGATTTTGTCAAAGGCCTTTTCTGTACCAATTGATAGGATTGTGTGGTTCTTTGCTTTATTAATGCGATGAATTATATCGGTTGTTTTTCTTATGCTGACCCATCCTTGCCTTGTTGTCATGAATCCCATTTGCTCATGATGGATTATGTTTAATATACTGTGAAGGATTTTCCCATCTGTGCTCATGTGAGACATTGGTCTATAGTTTTCTTTTTGGTGGTGTCTTTGCCTGATTTTGGTTTCAGGGTTACGCTTGTGGCAGATAAGACTCCAGGAATGTCCCTTCTTCTTCAATCATTTGAAAGAGTTTAAGTAGAATTGGTGACAGTTCATCTCTGAATGGTAGTAGAATTCACTGGTAAAGTCATCTAGACCAGAATTCTTTTTTATTATGTTTTGTTTATGACCTGCCTATTGGTCTGTTCAAGTGTTCTACTTCTGTCTGCTTCCAAAGTGCCTGCTTCAGTTTGGGTAGGGTGTGGATTTCTACAAATTTGTCCATTTCCTCTGTTGTTGCTGTTGTTATGTGCCCTCAAGTCAGCTGAGACACATAGCGACCCTGTGGACAATAGGCCTGAAGCCGGCCCTATCCTGAGCCAGTCTCACTGACTCTGACACACCTGTCCCATCACCCCAGTTACTATGTCAATCCATCTCACCTGGAGTCTTCCTTTCCACCTTCCCAAGCATGTCCTTCTCCAAGGACCAGACCCTGGTGGCCACATGCCCAAAGTATGAGAGATGGCTCTTCAGAATCCTAGCCTCCAAGGAGAAACTTGGTTTTGCCTTCTCCAAGACAGACCTGTTCGTTCTCTTGGTGGTTCGTGGTAGGTTCAATACTGTTCTCCTGCCCACAACTCAAAGGGATCAATTCTTCTGGAACATAGCTTTTCATAACAGTCCATTATTATCATTGTTTTAATTTCAAATGGTCCTTTTGCAATATCACCCCTTTTATTTCTTCTTTGAGTTGTGTCTTTTCTGTCTTTTATTCTGTTAAGTTTGTCAATGGTTTGTCTGTTTTATTGATCCTTTCAGAGAATCAGCTCCTGGTCTTGCTGATTGTTTCAGTAGGGTTTTTTTTCTGGTTTCTATTCTGTTTGTTTCTGCCTTAATCATTACAATATCCTTCCTTCTAGAGACTGTGGGGTTAGCCTATTGTTCTTTTTCTATTTGTTGGAGGCATTAAGTAGCTTTAATCCTTTAATCCTTTCTTCTTTTATGTGTTTGCTTACTGCTATGAATTGACCTCCAAGGACTACCTTTGCTGTATCCCAGAGGTTTTGATATATTGTATTTTCATTCATTTCAAGGAGCTTTTTGATTACTTGTTTTATTTCTTTTATAGCCCAATAGTGATTAAGCATAGGATTATTTAGCTTCATTGTGGGTGATTTTTTTGTCAGCAGTCCAGGTTCTTGTTTTGGGTTTGCTTTGGTGGTGTTGATATGTATATGTATATGTATATGTACACAGAGAGACATATATACACACACAGACATATATACCCACATATATACACAGATATATACTCACACATATACATATATATACACATAGTATATATACACATAGCTACACATATATACATATACACATAATATACACACACACACACATATATGTGTGTGTGTGTCTTTTTAAAAAGAATATTGGTTTGCAATCAAAAGTTTTCTACATTGTGTTTCATACATCCTTCCACTGCATGTGAATGATAATGTGACACTCCAAACACTGTGTTGCACATTTTTGTTCCCATCTATTATGTTTTATAAACTTAATCACCCTTGATCCATGCCAACCATTACCCCACTTTCTCAGATCCCCCTGGATCTTTCCTAATTCCTTCACCTGCTCACTCTGCCCACCAAACTCAGGGACCTCGAGATTTCCCCCGCTCCCCACCCTCATCTCCCCGCTTCCCTCTCCTTCTGCCTTTGAACTTCGGTACACATCTTACTAGTAAACCTTCTATTTTTACAATAATGGTCTTATGCAGTATTTGCCATTGGGAGACTGAGTTAGTGTACTACGCGCAATGCTTTCTAGCCTTTCCCATGTTATGTAGTAGTTTTTCAAATGGTTGCTCCTGACTGCTTCATTGCATTCCATTGTGTGAATGTACCATCATTTCTCTGTTTGTTGGTTGATGAACATTTGGGTTCATGAATCACAAGTCACATCTACAAGTGATCATGGGAATGGCCCTGGACCAGGCAGCTTTTCCTTTTATTGTCATGAGGTCCCATCAGCAGGGGCCACTCGGTGGCAGCTGATAACAAAAAACAAGCCAGGGGGGATTGTGTACCAATGAGGGAGTTTTTCTTTTGCTTTTCAAGGAGAGGAGCAAATGGGAGTGGGGGAGAGGGGAGGGGTTTGTGGGGGGAGAAGGGTGCAACAATGAATGAATGGAAATCCAAAGTCTCTGTAAACTTTCATTAAAATAAAAAAAGGGGAGGGAGAAGCTTAGCTTGATAAAGGGACTCTCAGAGAAACCATCAGAGCCACTTCCCAGATAGGAATTCAGGTCAAAGCATAACCCAGAGATAGAGGAGGAGGAGGACGAGGGCTCTGATCTTGTCCCCCTGTTCCAGCACAGCTGGATGCTCAGCAGTCACCCCAAATCCTCTGAGCACCTCTTTAATCTCCTTCAATTGTCGCTGCCGTTTTGATGCACAGTCCCTTTCTCAGTGTCCCCGTGGTTCCAGGTATTGACTGGAGGCTGCTCAAGCTCCCTTATCTCATTGTAATGTTTTATGTGCCCTTTCTCCCTGGGGAAATGAGAAGCTCCAAGCTCAGGAGGAATCAGTGTGCTCCGTGACGGGCGCCCAGGGAGGATTTGTCAAGGGTGGACAGAATGAAATAGACTCAAGGCCATAAGGAGGGAGATAGATGCCTTCTAAGATAGAGGTGGTGCTGGCATGGAACTGGCGTAGCATGCTGATGGATGGCGTGTCCTTGAGATCCTTGCTGCATCCCAGAGGCTGGACACAAATCCCAAGGCGGGGACACACTCCTTTAGATGATAGCATCTGATTTCGCTCCAGCCAAAAGTCCTCATGCCCTCTGTTCTCAATTCCTATAGGACGCTTCCACTCCCCAGGCCCTTTCTGTGCACTGGCCTGTGAGCCTCAGCCACTGTGGTGGTCGTCTCCTCACTAAGCACGTGGTATAAGTCACATCCTGACTTCTAGAGGCTCAAAGAACCCATGGCGATCTCTCCAGGGACTGGTTCATGTTCTTGTTGGTTCTGGGGCCCACTTTCTCACGCTCACACTCACCTCCCCTCACAAAGCACTAACCCTTCATCCTGTCATGAAAGGAGTCCAGAATCAACTCTAGATTGACCCTCAGAGGGTAACAGACAGTCTTGACAGTGAATAAACTTTTTCCATCACGGTCATCACTTTCCTGGTTGCACTGACCCACTGGCCTGCGCTAAGGCACCCTGTCTCTAGGATGAGTGTTCCAGTTATCGACTTTTCCTTCTTGGAATGCTGCTCGTTGTCATCGTTTGGTTGATGTGATCACATGGACGATGGCTCACAGGGGCCCTGTGAACGACAGATCTGAAGCTCGCCCTGTCCTGAGCCGCCCTCCTGACGTAGTCACTGTCAGTCCTTCTCAATGAGGGGCTTCCTGACTTGGGTCGACCCTCCATCTATCGCAGAGTGCTGTGTCTCTCTAAGGACTGGTTCGTCCTGAAAATATGCCCAAAGTAAGTGAGACGAAGTTTCTAGATAAGTGCTAAGATGTGAACACTCTGGCTGAATTTCCTGACAGGTTTCGCGTTATGTCACACGCTTAAGAACAGGCCCGGAGAGAGTTCAGGAAGCAGTAAGACTCACAGGGGTCAGAGCGTGTCTGGGTCTCTCTCCTGGGCGGCATGTGGTGACCGAGTGTGGCCTCTGCTCTTTCCTCTCTGCTCCAGGTACATGGCGATCATCCACCCCCTGCAGCCCAGGCTGTCAGCCACTGCCACCAAGGTGGTCATCTGTGTCATCTGGGTCCTGGCTCTCCTGCTGGCCTTCCCGCAGGGCTACTACTCCACCACGGAGACCATGCCCAACAGAGTCGTCTGCATGATTGAGTGGCCCGAGCACCCCGAGAAGATTTACGAGAAAGTGTGAGTAACGAGCTCCCCCAGACCGCTGGTGGGGGTGCCTTCCTTTTCCTTCCGTTACATATTTTTAAGGAGAGACAAGAACTTTGTTGCGGCTTCAGTTACAGCCAAGGTTGGGGTAACGCTTTGGTAAAATATTGAGCGCCTCAAAGTCTGAAAAGGGGAGAGTCTTGTCCAGGAGGGCGGAGGGTTACACATGAGCTGAAGACGAGTCTCGTGAGAGCCTTTCATGTTGTCGCTGCTGTTTGGTGTCACGGAGTCAGCACAGACTCACGGTGATCCTGTGTGTAAGGGACCAAACCCTGGCCTGTTCCTGGGCCGTCCTCACAGTCCCTGCCGTGCTCAAGATTGTCCTTGTTCTCTGTAAGGATCAGCGTGTGTCCACACACATGTCTCACGTCTGCCTTGATGTGTGGGGAGGTGGGGCCTCATCTAGAGAGAATCCAAAGGTGGTGCCTCTCTGGAGGTTCGAATCCACCAGCTGCTCCATGGGAGAAGGCTGGGCAATCTCCTCCCATGCAATTTACAGCCTCTGAAAACTCACCAGAGGGTCAGCTGTGAGTCAGTTCCCACGCGGCAGCCATGAGCAGTGAGCAACCTTGATATTGGATAGACGTACCCATAATTCTCAGGGAACCGCTGTATTGCAGTCAGCTCTGGGAGCCTGGTGGCCAGGGAGTACTGCTGCCGACCCCAAGGCACACGGTTCGGGTCTGCCAGCTGCTCTGCAGAAGTAAAACCGGCCATCTCTCCCCGTGTGACTCACGGCCTCCAAACACGGGCTACACACCAGGTCCAAACTGATGGCAGTGAGTCAAGTTTGCTGATTCTGATCTAAATACTGTTCTGGTTCTCAGGAAAGGAGGGGAGAAGCACCACCTTTGGGTGCCCACCGCATACCCCTCAAACCTTTCACCTTTGACTTCTGCCTGCTAGCATCCGCATCCACCTGCCCAGGGACTCCCCCGAAGCCACAGAGCACCACTTCACTGGTTCGCTCCACACGCCTGGAGGGTGCACTTCCTCCCTCCCTCACAGCCCTCAACAGCTGTGACAGGACCTGGTGTTCCAAATATGCCACTTATACTTGACTCTTTATGTCAACACAATCAACAATATTTCTTTATTCCCCTCCGAGGGAAACCAACCAAGACACAGAACTTCCAGAACTGTCCAGGGGAGAAGCAGGACACCTCCTGGAAGGGCACAGGCGTATAGGCTGGTGCATTTGGACCTTGCCAGTCATGAGCCCTCTCCTGGCTGCCCCACTGCTCTTCCGGGGCCTGGCTGGCCACATGCAGGGATTTTCAAAGCCTTCCACCCAGGGGTGTCCTCCAAGACTTCTCATCCCAGAGGCTTAGTCTGCTTCATCCGTTCAATTGGGTGGTAATGTGGTGTTTATATCCCCACCAGGGTTCTGGTGCCAGAGCTCACGGATGAGGGGGCTCTGTTTGGAAGCCCTCCACCATCCTTAAATCTTGTAAGTGTGATGTGAGAGGAAGACTGGGGCTAGACTCCAGCGATCTAGGCTCTAATGACAGCTCCTGCCTGTGCGTGAGGCTGGACGAGGAGCACATTGTCTGTCTCACACACTCTTTCCGGTCTTACTGAGATGCAGGGTAATAGATCCTACTTCTCATATGCAATTGTTGTGCAGATCAGGAAAGAGAATGGATTCTCACATTGCCAGCCAGGAAATGCCTGCAAAAAGTCAGCAAGCTCATTGGGTGCTAGGCTGATCATCATAGGCCTTTAAACTTACCGAGGTTCACAGGAGATGCTCTCCCCAACCTCCCCCAGGAGAAGGGGGGCCCACAGCCTAGGGCACCCAGAGCATGCTGTGGTCCTTCCACGGAGCTCAGAAAGGTGGCTTAGTAGCACAGACCCCCGCTGACAGCTCACGCCTCGCCTTCCAGACACAGACCGTGGGGTTTCATCGATCCGCCCAGAAGGAGATATTGCGTGTTGTTCTTTCAAATAAAACTACAAGCCTGAGCAAGGTCTCTGTGGAGAAACCACACAGCTTTACAAGCCAGGCTGACCTGGAAACACGATCGAGCCAGCGGTGTCCTCAAAGGGAAAGAAAGAGGAGCAAAGCTCTGCTCAAAAGCTCACTTTACAAACTGCTTCCAAAACTGTCATAGACTGTGTAGACCACAGGCCAGGTATTATAAAGCTCTGCTCAAAAGCTCACTTTACAAACTGCTTCCAGAACTGTCACAGACTGTGTAGACCACAGGCCAGGTCTTATTATTATTATTCTTTTTGTTTTTATTTTTATTATTTTAGTGAGTTTACAAAGAGATTGGGTTTTCATTTTATTCATTCATTTCCTCCTTGTCCCAACTCTAGTTATCTTTGTAATGCTTGTCTTGTCCCAGATTGTTAATTAGTTGCTATATACTTTTTATATCATATTTACTATATCATAATGTACGTATACTTCTGATATTATCTTATAATATCTTATGATATAATCTCCTAGCATAGACTGCTAGGAGAACATATAGGTTTGTCCTGGAGAGGGTGAAGCCAGAATGCTCCTTGGAGTCAAGGATTCTGAAGCTTCATCTGACATACTTTGGGCATGTTGCAAGGAGGAACCAGTCCTTGGAAAGGGACATCATGTTTGGGAGAGTGGAGGGACAGCGCAGAAGAGGAAGACCCTCTATGAGGTGGATTGATTCCGTGATTGGAGTAATGGGAGAAGGTGTGTTGGAGACAGTAAGGTTGGCACAGGATAGAGCAGGGTTTAGGGCTCTTGTACATAGGGTCGCCATGAGTTGCAGATGACTTGATGGCACATAACAACAACAATGTATTATTATGACATTACAAATATTGTTATAATGTCTAATCATCCATCCCAGTTCTTAGGTCTGAGAATATTCTCAAAGCCCAGTCAACATTCTCTGACTTAGGATTCAACAGACTCAGAGCAGACCCATAGTTCTTTCCTCTTTCAGCAGATTTGAACTTTGGCTTGAAAATGTTATTGTTGTTAGGTGCTGTTGAGTTGAGTATGACCCATAGCGACCCTATAAACAACAGATCTGAGCCCTACTCTGTCCTGCGCTGCCCTCACACTTCCTGACACACTAGAGCCCATTGCAGCAGTCACTGTGCTAGTATACCTGGCTGGGTCCTTAACCGAATTTCTCCCTTTCCAAGTATCATGTCCCTCTCCAAGGAGTAGCCCCTCCTAGCAACATGCCCAAAGTATGTGAGATGAAGCTTTAACATCTTTGCCTCCAAAGGGCACTCTGGCTGCAATTTCTCCCCAGACATATCTCTTTATTCTTTTGGCAGTCCAAGGGATATTCAATACTTTTCTCTAATGCCACAGCTCAAAGGAATCAATTCTTTCATCCTTATTCATTGTCCAGCTCTCAGATGTATAGCAAGTGATCAGAAAGACCATGGCCTCAATCAGGTGCACCGTAGTCCTCAAACGGACATCATCACTCCTCAGTAATTTGGAGATGTCCATGACTACAGGCTTTCCCAGTGCAATACTTCTCCTGATTTCCTGACTGCTGAGACCAAGGGTTTATATTATGGATCCAAGTCAGATGAAGCTGTTGACAATTTCTATCTTTTCTGCATCTATCATGATGTTGCCTATAGGTCCAGTGGTAAGAAACTTGGTTTTCTTGATATTGAGATGAAATCCATATTGAAGGCTATATTCTTTGATCTTTTGAAAGAAGACTGATTTGCTATTTGAGGCACTAATCAGATTGTCAGTTTGTTGTATTTGAGAATATTGTTCTTACTGGTTCAACACTTGTCTGTCAGTTTGCTGTGCTGAGATAACTTGTAGTTTGCTGTGATACTGAAAGCTGTTCTGCTGGTATATCAAATGCTGCAAGGATTACCCATGGTGAACAGGTTTTAGTAGAAATCCCAGATTACAACAGAGGAAGAAGTATCATTGACCATCCACTTCTCATATAACAGGACTCTGAAAATCCAATGAACAGTAGAGGAACACAGTTATAATATCAGTGGTAGAGTCAGATTGGAAGTCAGTCAAAACAAAGAAAAATAACAGCAGACATCCTTTAATAATTGGAACATGGAATGTATGTAACTTGGAAATGAAGATTTCTTTTCCCGTGTCTCCAGGAGCTTGTCCAAGAAATGGGAGTATATAGAACTTTTAAACATTACACAGTTTTTATGCTGAGTAATGGCTAGAAAATGTCTTTGATATTCTACATGAGTTGGAAAGTCCCTGAGATGCTATAAATCCTGTTGGATAGTCATGGTTTTGCTCTGAGAATGTAGATTAACTGTTAATGGAGATGTAGTTAGATTTCCCATCAGCAATTACCTCATCATCTTAACCTAAAAAAAAAAACACAAAGTCTTGTTTAAGAGTCAAGTCTGTCTGTGGCTCTCCCAGCATCAGCTCTGAATGTCCTCTCTGACCTCAATCCAACTCGAATGGACTGCTGTCAAGGTGGCTCTTCTAATAATGACACCGCCCCCAGTGGGTTTCGAGGCTGTGAATCCATCACGACAGGAGAAGACCTCCCCTCTTTCTCTCTGTGAGTCAGTGATGGATTCAAACTGCCCGAAACGTGCAACCTTTGGCTCAGCAGCTCCAACCCCACCTGCCCAAGTCATCTCATTAGCATAGCCTCCTGTGAGGTCACAAAGGAGGGATCCAGTCACACAGGAATTTCCAGGGGTTGAGTTTACCTCCTGGAAACCATGGGCAAAGACCACATTCTTTAGTGCCCCCCCCCCGAACCATCTGATGTTCTCGATGCTGTTTCTGTGGACCATTGAGTCGGAACTGACCCAGAGCTGAACCTTTCGCAGGTTTCCAGGGGCTGTAAATCACACAGGAGGAGACTGCCCATCTTTCTCCCATGGAGTAGCTTGTGGATTTGAACCGTGTGCCTTTGGGGTTGCAGCGGAGCTTCTTACCACAAGGCCACCAGAGCTGCCTATGAGATGGATAAATAAGATTCTTGCTGGTCGACTAGTAAGTCAAAA